GAAGCGAAAGAAGATCAAGCTGTCGGCGACGCAGCGGAAGGTGCTGGCCGCGGAACGGGATCGCGTCAAGCAGGAGCGCGAGCAGCTGCGCCAGGCCGCCTTCGACGAGAAGCTGAAGAAGGAGCGGGAGAAGCTGGAGAAGGAGCAGGAGCGCCTCAAGGCCGCCGAGCTGAAGGCGAAGCAGAAGGAGGAGGAGAAACGCGAGCGGGAGGCGGAACGGGAGCGCAAGGCCGCCGAGGCGGCGGAGAAAAAGGCCCAGGCGGAACGGGAGCGCCTGGAGAAGCTTCAACAGAAGGAGGAGGAACGGGAGCGGAAGGAGCGGGAGAAGGCCGCCAAGGAGCAGGAGCGCCTTCAGCAGCGAGAGGCCAAGGAGCTGGAGAAGGCCCGTCGGCTGGAGGAGAAGAAGTAAGTGTTGTTGTTGTTCTATTTTGTCCTGATGATGATGATCCTAACCTCACATATTAATTGTCCCCATTTCAGAGCCGAAGAGGAGCGCAAGAAGCTCGAGGAGGAGCGCAANCGTTGTTGTTGTTCTATTTTGTTATATTTTGTTTTGATGATACTAACCTCTACTAATTGCCCCCATTTCAGAGCCGAAGAGGAGCGCAAGAANTCTATTTTGTTTTGATGATCCTAACCTCTACTAATTGCCCCCATTTCAGAGCCGAAGAGGAGCGCAAGAAGGCGGAGGAGGAGAAGAAGCTCGACAAGAGTCGCGACCTGATGCGCAACTTCTTCTTCCACCAGCGAAAGTCCAAGCTGTCTGAGCTGAACGGTGATCCCAATTCGCCCTCCGCCTCAAATGATGGCCNCCTGATGCGCAACTTCTTCCTCCACCAGCGAAAGTCCAAGTCTGAGCTGAACGGTGATCCCAATTCGCCCTCCGCCTCAAATGATGGCCTCGTCGGCTCGCCGGCGAAAGACGGCCTAAAACAGCAGCAAAAAGAGTACGACGTGGCGGCCCTCATACAGCAGATCACCTCCCAAAGCGTTCCCGNCTCGTCGGCTCGCCGGCGAAAGACGGCCTAAAACAGCAGCAAAAAGAGTACGACGTGGCGGCCCTCATACAGCAGATCACCTCCCAAAGCGTTCCCGAAGAGGAGCTCTACCTGAAGCAGCTCCTCTCGGGGAAGATCACCCCGTGGTCGGCTCCAGAGCGAAAGCTTCAGCAGCAGCAGCAGCAGCAAGCTCAGCAAGTGGACGATGATTGCGTGCTCATCGACGAAACCAAGGACGAAGGAATCAGCGTCTTTCTGCAGTTCTTCGAGAACGTCCGCCCCGCCTATTTTGGCCGCCGCCATCAGCCCCTGCCGCTGGTCACTCTGAGCGGGCGAACGCCCTTCAAGAAGGAACCGTACCTCGACTACGAGGTGGACAGCGACGAGGAGTGGGAGGAGGAGGGCCCCGGGGAGAGCCTCAGCGGCTCGGAGTCGGAGGTTGAAAAGGCCGACAAGGACGACTACGAGATTGACGACAAGTTCTTCGTGCCGCACGGCTACCTGAGCGAGGATGAGGCGGCGCTGGGCGGTGATGATGATGACTCGGAGCTGGACCGAGATCATCCCCATCATCACAATCACTCGGGGCCGCTGATGAAGGAGCAGGCCCTGTTGGCGGAGCGCAGCGCCAAGTTCACCAACAAACTGACGCCCCAGGTGGT